AAGCAAAAGCTTGCAACGGGTACCACGAGCAACGACCGACTTAAAACACCGAACGACTCGAGAGAGCGAGCGAAAAGAAAACCGAACTTACAGCTTGATGGGCAAGCAGATAATCTAATAACTGACATACAGTTAGTACAAACATATGCAATTAGATTAACATCCGAAGTCCATCCATTTTTACATATTCTGCACAATAGATACTTTCTGCCCCGCCCCATTCATAAAAAAACGGTGGGAAATCCTGTCAGGGGCGGGACTTAGAAAGTTTGTTTTGTGCAGAATATGTAAAGAAGGAGGGACGTTGGATGTTAACCTAACTGCATATACCGTGCATCATAGAGAAAAAAGGGCGTGGGGAAGTTGAAACGGTAGATGTATATCTCAGGTGAAGTGAATAATCACTGAGATTATTTCTAATTTAGTAGTTTGCGGTAGTACACAATGCCTCTTAAAAATAACTACAATGAATATTCACTTCCGCTAAGAGTTACACGTACCGTTTCAACTTTCCCCGGTGTACCTTAACTATGATGCTTACAGGGCTAGTAGCTGAGACGCTTTGTAGTGACTTGGTCATTTTTTTTTTCAAGCCAAGGCCAAGTCACTAAAGTCACTTTTTCTTGTAATCAGTCACTATTTTTAACTTTTCTAGTGTGAATTTATTACAAGATTGATCATCATTTCTTTGTGAATTGTTATCGTCTTTCTAATCTACATGATGTCAACTCATTTTTCAAAACAAAATTACCTGTGTTTTCCAGGTTTTTTTTTCCAGAACTTTAACTTTAATAAAAAAGTTTTTTAAAAGCCTTGAAAAAATCGCTTTTTTCCAGCACTTAACCCATGACATGGCAATCAGTTTTAAAGAATCAGCTTAGCAATCAAATCCATTGAATGTTGAAGTTCAACACTTACTTAATTACTCAATTCAACAAAGTTAAAAAAACTTACTTAATTTGAGTAAGTCCAAGATCTAAACATATTTAATGGCTTGAAGTTTCGTATTCCATGTACAAGTTCAAGATATTGAAAATTTTCAAAGTACCAGAATTAAGGAAAAAAAAAAATAACGATCTATTTCAAGTTCGTAATTAACTTTATGAAAGATTAGAGATCTTCATTGTAGTCTCATTAACTTCACAGCAATTGTAGGAACTTTGAAGGAGTTCTAAGGAATGAAAGGAAATGGTCAGAATTTCAGTGAAGCTCCATTAACAAACTGCGGGAACATAAGGGAAGTTAACACGCTGAAAATATGGGGTACTTAGTGGAAGCTTTATGAACCTCAAAGTGGTTCTTTAAGCCTCCGAAAATTTTCAGGAACTTTTATGAAGTTCCCAGAATTTCAGAGAACTTCACAGATGTCAAGCGAACTTGAGAAATATAGAAAACTTGACGTAGGACTACGTCTTTAATTTCTATACTGGGGATCACATTAAAAAAATCAAAATTCACACATGTAACGAAAAATCCTAACCACGGACGCAACGATAGAGCGGAAATCGAACACACGACACATTGCGCATGCTCACATGAGCGAGCTCAATGCTCGGTGGACCGCTCACCATTTCACCAATGAAAGGAAGGGAGGAGAGAAGCAGCGATAGTAAAATCGTTTTCTTCGTCATTTGCTTTCGAGCAACGAACGGATAAGCGTCGGACACGACGTATGAGTGGAACAGCCCGAATCGCACCAATACGAAGACAACGATGAAAGCACCCACATCGACCGGAGAAAAGGTTTCCCGCAATAGGTAGCATGACTAGGCCGCCGTCCTCCGATTGGCATCGACTTGTACTGGTGTGGCCACCATTTGAAAAACAACCGGCCCTTTTCACCAATTCCAAAACGGAAAGAGTTGAGAACTAAATGATTAACACATCTGTTCCGTCCACTAGCGGTCCAACGTCACGCTTCCGCTCGTGGCCCTAGGCACAGACCCTTTTACTTTTGACGTAGGACTGCGTCTGTGATTTCTATATGGGGGTAAACTTTGTGAAAACCGAAAATGGAACATGTTACAAAATTATGAAAGATTTTGAACGTTAATAACTCAGCTGCTCCTGAACCAATTTCAATAATTTTATCACCAATCGATCAGAAATATTTCGACGCATGTCAAATGTCACTATTGAAAATTGCACGAATGAAAATTATCACCGATTGCCAGTGAAAAGCGACACAGATTTCAAAGTTGAATTCCATCCGGTCTCACTAAACGGTGTTTATTTAATCACCGCGTGCTGAGTGGTGGTGTTCTCCAGTATACAACGAAAGGCTGTCTGCAAGCAGCGAGCTGCATCCGACTTGAGCATCCATAGAAGGAGGAAGAAGCCGCACCGCTATTGATCGGAATCAGTAGCTCTTTGTGAGTCATTGTGGGCCATCTATGTCAAGCGCGTCATACTAAAGATTATAAACAGAGAGAACCCCGCTCATATTCCAACTCCTACACAAAACACAAGCTCCTGCTGCAGTTTACAAATAAGATTTATTATATAAGTCCACGTAGTCCTACGTCACCATTGCGTACAACCCCATAGGGCTGGGCTGTTCCTTGTAGTTTTTAAGAAGTTCTAAGCACCTCAGAAATGCTAGATCTAAAGCTCTTTGGGGAATTTCAGATCTCCAGAGCAGTTCCCGCAACTTTAGTCCAGACTTTTGGAGCAGTTTGAAGATCTATAATCGTAAATTTTGAAAAAAATTATGATGTGCTGGAAAAAAATCGAGAACCCTTAAGATGTTCCGAGAATTTTAGGGAAGTACTGAGACCTTCAAAGAATTTATGAAATATTTCAGGAATTTCATAGAAGTCCAGAGAATTTCAGAGAAATTTAAATGTGTTTACGGGAATTCCATTTATTTCCGAGTAGAACCGAGATCTTCAATAGAATTGAGAGCTGTAGGGAAGCTTTGAGAACATCAAGACAGATCAGAGAATCAAAAGGCAGTTCAAATAATTTCGAGGAAGTTGTAGAAACCTTAAAAAAGTTTCGAGAAACGCAGGGAATTTCCGGAAACTTCAGCAAAGCTCCGAGAGAATTTCTGAAACGTTGATAAAAATTATATGAAAACCCGTAAAACGTGACAGTATTTTAAGGGTGTTATATCACCGACGAACCGACGTGACAGCTCATAGAAGTTACTTTAAACATCTTGCCCAAGACGCCATATTAAAAATACGTTAAACACTACCGCCATCTACTCATCCGATCGCGACATATCATGAGCAAGGACACGAACACACGTTAAATTTATATTGACCTGATTTGCGTCTCACCTCGTTTGACAGATCTGATCGCCAGTTGGACAGATCAAATCGCTCATTTGACAAATCTAATTGCGGACAAACGAAATGCTCCAGTGTCATGTCGGTTCGTCGGTGGTTATATCATGGGGATTTCAAGAACATAAAATATGCGAAAATTTAGCCAAGTTGATTAGAGAACATCAACGAAGTTCCAGCGACTTACAAGAAGTTCCGTGGAATTATGGGGTATTCCAAGAATTCTACGAATGATCAGAAAATGTCAGAATCCTCAGAGAATTATGAATATGCACACTTAGAAATGATTACCGACTTCGGTAAATTTCAGCGAACTTTCAACAGCTGAACTGTTCGGTTAAAATCAGGCATTTTAAAGCTTCCAAGCGAAGGGAGGCGACACATCTAAATCTCAAAATTAGATGCTCAACATATCTCACACTAGCGAATCAATCTTCGAAAAATCTTCTTTCATTTGTTGCATCTACTGCATCGAGCATCATCTTTTTGCAGGAAATCTTCAGAATCGTCATCAATCTTCTTTCTATCTACTCAGCGTGCGCGCAGCTAGCCACAGCACAACACAATATTTTCTGCAGCGTAGATAGAGTCGTTCCCCTCGCTTCAAAGCATGAAAAACTTCACCGCAATGGCAAGACTCAATTATTTAAACAAGCCTGACAGTGTTTTGAAATAAAAGTTTAGTGAAACAGCTTTTGAAATAAGGGTCAAAATTTTACGGAACGTTCAGCTGTTGAAATTTCGGTAAAAATTATCTAAGACGGTAATGATTTCTAAGTGTGTGTATCAGAAAATTTGCTGAATTATTAAACAAATTTAGAGAACTTCAGATAAGTTCAGGAAAAATTAGTGAGCGTTTGTAATGTTTATAATCAGTGTTGGCAAAATCATCAATCAAGTAATATTTTTCCGCTTTCATACGCTCTCAATATCACGTGATTCATGCGTGATATTGGATCAACATATCATGCTTGATATTGATTTTACAAGCTCCTTTGATATTGTGAGACTGTTCACAGCATGCAAAAATCAAGCTGAGCTTGACTCGACACAAAAATGATTCCGTTGCACATCGTTTTCTTAGAAAGAGAAAACATAGTTTGCTATCTCTTTTTACTCTTCACCGATGGCAGACACGAAGGGACTGCTGCCAGCCGTTATGGAAGTTTCGGTTGCATTCGGATGTAAAGCAAAAACCATTAAACTCAATCTCACCACAGTTTGGTGAGATTTGCAGTTGGTGAGTTTTGTCAGCTCGATATTCCAAGCTGCGATATCACAGTTTGCAAAATCAACCGCAAATGTTTGTTCTACGAAAATCAAGCGTGATCTAGGGCATTGGTGAGATTTGATTTTTTGATATTTTTCCAACACTGGTTATAATACTTAAGAAAAGTATTGGTGAAAATAACCCTTCTTTTGAATCAACCTCTTACTGATTCACTGACAATCTGACGCATATTTTTTGGTTTTCTGAAATTCCTGAAAGCTAATCTATTTATTTTAATTTTGGCTGCAACAACAAACTTTGGCCACTGCCGATTTGGTAGCCATAAGTCCATAATAACAGCTTATAGCGCATTATCTACCGAACTTGATTTCGTTCCAAATACGATGCACATTAAACCATGACTTTGACTTACCCTCACCGCTAATGACCCATTGTTCGCCCATGCTCATAATCGCTTTTATTTGTGCTTATCATTCCAGCCATCCCCCCACAAGAGCCGATCTGGTGCCTGGAGCGTCGCGATTCCGGTCACCTCTTCTGGCGACGAGAATCGTCCAAGGTCAAGTTCCGGTACGACGTCGAAGTGCTGGAATTCACCAAGGACCCCTGCGAAGACCAGCTGCTGATCACCGACAGCGAACTGAAGGAGAAGAACGAGCACCACCTGTCGAACATGATCGTGGTGTGTGCGACCTGCGTGGCGGCCATTGCCGTCACGGTGGTCCTTCCCTGGTTCCTGATAGGATCCACCTAGGATGGCGATGGGAGAATCGAGACACCGAACACCACCACCACCTACCATCCACCAACGCCGGTGGAGATATTATTCTAGCAGTTAGTCTACTTAGCGGTTTTAAGCAAGAGTTACTGATGATGAATCGCACACTCACTTCTTGGGAACGATAGGCTTAGGGAAGAGCGATTTCCAATATTGATACGAACAACATTTAAACAAAGAACACACACGAAGCACACGTGTGCACGAAGCGATAAGCCTAGGAAGTGTCTTCTTTGCTGAAGCAATTTATCTAGATTTTTAAAAGGATTAGGTTTATGTTTTTAAGGAATGTGATTAGGGAAAGAAGTTTTACTCGATTGGAAGGATGTATATATTTGTATGAAAATTGTAACTGAAATTTTTAAACCGAGTCGCCTTCATAAAATGAATATACCGCTACCTGATTTTAAGGAAGAACCGTGCTGATGGTGAACCATTTGTTTAAAACTGCCAAATTGGGCACCCACGCACGGAATGCAAATACAAAGGCCAAGATTAATGAGCATGTATATTTTTGGAGGAATTTTTTCTCACTACTGAAAACAAACAACGCGTAACAGACGCCCCCCGGTTCATAGAACCAAGAGATTCAAGGAACAAACAAACAAACAACGAGTAATTTCGGAAAAGTCGATACTATGCGGAAACGATAGGAAAACAACGCTCAATTAGCGAGGGAGAGTTTGCGTTTTCTGCCAAAAATAAATTCCACTCTCGATCGCCTTCACCTCATCGCGAAAAGGGGAAAAATCAATGCAATCTGTCTGTCTGCTAATTTGTTGTAAACAGCAGAACCCGTTTGTTGATGGGCGGGAGTACATTAAGCGAAACAACGAAATGCTACTCATTTGGGAGGTGCTTATCGGAATTGGCAGATAGATTTCATCCAACGCTCGTAAAATACACACGCCTAGAACGGATAGAGTAAACAAATTGAACCATTTGCAATTCGGGACCAAACGAAACTAACTGAGGTGGAACTGATCTGTTTGTAGATATTCTCTAGGGAGTAGTTGTTTTCGTCTCTAAGTACTTTTTTTTCTCGAGATAAGTGGCGAAAGGTTTCGGTGGTGTTGATTTTTTCCGGGTTCTTCCTTCAACTGGAACGATGAGAGGTGATATTGAACGAAACGGTTCGAATTAGATTTATATATTGTATGTTATCAAGTGATAATAGTATTTAGGTTGTGAGAAGCATGAACATATTAAACGAATATTTAAACATTATGGATATGAGTGTCAGATGATCCGAAATTTCCAGAAAGACCACCTTATAGATGATAACTAAGCTATCGACTGAAACGGATGACAATTTAAAGTGTCACGAGATCTATTTTTTTCTAAATGGCTATTGATAAGCTTCGCAGATACTGGAGCATGTGTATTAGAGTCACGTCAAGAGAAAAACAGTGGAACTCGCATCACGGGTTTCGAAAGATGCCCTTTTCTTTCACTTGGCAACAGAGAGTAGTAATAATTATATCAATGATTTTATCAAATTATCATTAAATCAAATATTACAAATTCGCATTACTGATCATTACCAAATGAACCCCATGGCACTTTGTACTGCTTGTTTATGATCGATTATATTTTATATGTTATTACCTATCAGACCCAGATCAAGGAGTCTCTTGCTACTACTGGGTTGTCGGGTTAACTGTTGGGCATAAGCTAGTTACACTATTGTGTAGACGTTTGATGCAGCTATTGAACTAATTAAATAGGACACCTGAGTCAAAAGTCGAATAAAGGTTGAACACGAAAAAATCCGGACACATTAAGATCGCTGCCAATAAGGCCGGAACAAATCACAAGTTTTTCTTTTGTCGCTTGATACTCGCACCACTCGAAGGGAGAGGGGGGAGGGGGGCGGTTTACATCACATCTAAATCGTATATCCAGAAAACTTCGAGATTAGGGCGTAATTGCTTTTGTAAACAAGCACGTCATTCGACTATTTCTCGCGAATTAAAGCATAATCTAAAAAACTAACAATGCAAACAGGTAGAGGAATGATTCCTCTATCATTTGGTATAGTTTATTCGCAAGATTGTGCTTTTATTCGCGAGAAATCGGTGATTGACGTGTTTGTTTACAAAAGCAATTACGTCCAAATCTCAAAGTTATCGGAATATTTCAAACGTTTACATTACCTCTTAGCATTCGCTTTAGCCTTATACTTTTTGAAGCCGTGATTTTTGACACTAATGCAAAACAGGAGCCACAAATGTTGACTTTATTATGTGTAACACTCGGGACATTTCGCGCATAAGTTGTTGTTTCCTTTCAGAAAGAACATTGGTAATAACGTAAATGACCCAAGTAACAATCTAAATGCTTGAAAGATTTATTCTTATTTTATCATTGTTTTATCATAGCATCCCTTGCAGCCTGTGGTTGTATTACGGTTTTGTGAGCTTGTCATAAAATCAGGCCGTCAAGTCATCTATAAAACTGTTTCATGACTACTACATTACAACTCAGACTTCATAGTTTTAACGGTAGCTGTACGGTGGTTCTGTATCACTACCTATAACTGTGGAATAAAACCAAAAAAAAATAATACAATTATGTTTTATGGCATACTTTTTATGACCGATATAAAACATGAAGCAGTCTTAGACCTTCATTAAAGCCTTATTACAGCTTCAATCTTTATCAGAGGCCTAAGATTCACAGATAAGAAATATACTACAACAATAACAAAAAAATACTCTTAAAATTGCCACCAATATAAAAAAAAAAATAAATCTATTAAGATACATGAAATGGAAACCCCTTCAGTGCTTTTGACCACGATGAAGATGAGACGATCGCCAATATAAAACTCCTGGAGGATCTACAGTTATGGGCTCTATCATATAACATAAGGCACAGTGCGGTGAAGGAGCTCTTTGAAATATTGAACAAGCGGCTTTCCGATACACTTCCGAAAGATCCACGAACCCTTCTTAAAACAACGCAGACAGTTCCACTAAATCCGGTTGGAGATGGCCAGTATTGGCATCATGGCTTTAAACCTTGTATTGAAAAAGCTTTTAGTGGATCCATTAATCATTTCTTACATCTTGATTACAAGAGAAAATAAGAGGATCGCTTGGAATGTTGACTTTTTGACAGGTTGCCATGGTTTTTGTTTTGTTTGATTCGCTGTACCGAATAAAACCAGCAAGCTAGTTATAGAGCTTAAATATAACTTAACGCTCTCAATTTGGACTACAAAATGCTAAGATACAACCATTAGGTTTATGTTATGCTATAGAATTCCAATCTAGGAGAATATGTTATATGGAGGTATTTTTAAGGAGTAGCAAGTTATAACGTAAAAAATGTCACCGTATAAACAAATTTCACACAGTATGAATAATTATGCTGTAATTGATAGGCGATAAAACACTTTCATACATCTCTGTATATTAAAATAATATGTGACTGGTTATTGCTCAACCACAAGACCACACGCACAATGTAAATTTGCCTGGTTGAGACTCTCCTACGGGCGAGTCAATTAAATGTCCTAGAAAGGATTTACGGATCAGGCAAGCCGGCTTTCAACTAACCTTCGAAACGGGAAAACCCAATTATCTCCGTACAATCACTAACACGATAATCACTCATGGTGGTAAGCTCCAACCGGTATTATCCTCGGATTAAATCCCGAACAAGAATATTTGACTGCTTTGATGTCGACATTAGAGTTAATTAACATGACTCTAAACAAAAATTGTGCAGATCTTTCAAACAGGGACTGTTCAAGGTTAATCCGAGTTGGAGCTTACCGCCATCAGAGAGTCGTTGAGAGCTCACCTATACCTAAAGACTTACTACGAAAGAGAATATCACTTGCCCCGATCTGGAAATGGACTACTCTACCCGAGGGGGTCGACTCTATCTATAATGCAGAACAGATTGTGTTTTGCTGTGGCTAGCTGCGCGCACGCTGAGTAGATAGAAAGAAGATTGATGACGATTCTGAAGATTTCCTGGAAAAAGATGAAGCACGATGCAAACAGATGCGACAAATGAAAGAAGATTTTTCGAAGATTGATTCGCTAGTGTGAGATTTGTTGAGCATCTAAACTTGAGATTTAGATGTGTCGCCCCCCTCGACTCCACCCAACATTCGGGGTTTCTAACAGAGCGAAAAATTATTTACTGGTCAGGCTGAGTGTGAAATCACTGCTCTATTCAATTCATTGCTCTATCCAGACCGTATGTACCAAACGGTAAAGGACGAGGCAATGAAAAGCAAACCCCACACGCATCAATATATTGACGCGAAGGGGAATTATTAACAATAATATTGATGATGTGAATTCAGAAATATTGTCAATCTCGATATATTGACGTCAATATAGTATGTATTGACAATACGATTATTGTCAATAAAAGCAATCGTGTAGGGTCCACTAAAGAGCCAACAAAAACATTCAATCACTCATGAACAGGCGACGTACACCGCATGCCTTCCTCACACAGCATGTAATTGGGGCATTTTTCTATAGAAAATGTACGCTCAGTCATGCAAAACAAAGATTGGGTACCATCACGGAAGAATAAACGTGCTGACAGAGCTACTGACTGAGTGCTCTGCTGTCAGTGACTCGTTTACTTCGCAACCATTCAGACTCTCACAAGGCAGTGAATGATGAGGCGGATGGCTGTTCATATTCATATGAAAATGACTCATTGAACCTGAATGTTTTGCGCACTGGTTTCTACCAGAGACGTTGATAGAGACGCGCAAATTTCTGTCAAAACAGCAGCATGGTTATTGATAGATATTTTGGCAATGTTACTGGCAACCATGTTTCTTCGTGTGGCTTCAAATGACTTTCACACAGTGCTGCAATGCTGTTGAGTAAATTTGAATGTTCGACCGGAGTTGAATAAAAATGAAGTGCGTGGCAACATTTTGCAAAAAATAAAGCGAAGACGAGAGATGGCAGTCGCTCCATGACAGTATAATTTTTGTCATATTTACTGTTTGACTTGCACTGCAATCAGTTTTATTACCATAAAACTAAATAAAACGTTTCGATTCGTAATGGTTTTTATCACTAATGATGTATTTAATTGAATAAACAATAAATAAATAAATAACAGATATTAAATCTTTTGTGAAAATAATTAAAAACTTTTTTCACCATTGAGAACAATATTCCTTTCTGGTGAATTGAGCGAACAGTAATGTTTATTTACTTTGCTCGTTTGGTTCAGCGTTTGACGGATCGTTTGGTTCTTCTTGCTTCAGTCTACACGGTAAGAAAAAAGTACCCAAAATTGAGTTCCTTTCACTCATCACGTGGCTTCCGTGGGGCTAGGTAAAATTAAGTTAAAGAAGAAAACTCAATTTTGAGTAATCCTGGCGTTGACCAAGTTGGCAAAAAAATAATAAAACGGAGCAGACTGGAACCGAACCATGGACGTTGAGATTACGGGGCCCGTATGTTGACCACTCGTCTATCAACGCTTGTGAAAATGAAATGGTTAAAGGCGCATAAAAGCAACCTCAATGAAAATAAACTTATATTTGAGTTCATTTATTATTACTCAATAGTTGAGTAAATTTTAACCAACGCCGCTTTTCTGATTCACTCAACGGCGGACCTTAAATGATAGAACCCAACGTTGAGTTTTTTTTAACTTAATTTTGAGTATTTTTTCTTACCGTGTATGCGTGTCTCTGTTTTCTACCAGCGTTAATAGGCCCAGCGTTAATAATGCACCACCACGAGAGTTCAAGAGGAAACGTAACCAAACCATTTGTTTACATCAGAAGAAGGATTTTTCATAACGCAAATTAAAGCATTTTTCATTGAACATCTTACCAATTTCCATCAGTAATTGTTTTATTTTACGATTTTCCACACATCTGAACTTATTTGCACCTAAATTATTCACACACAAGAAATCCGGAAGATCATAACCACTAAATCACTGTTGAAATTTTCCATTTTTCTCTACAAAAATATTCAGGATCCTTGCAAACATGATACAGAATTAAATTTTTCAACTAAAGATCGAGTTTTCGAGCATCTGAGATGAATCAATTTATCAGGAAAAGTGAAAAAATGTTCCGCTTCCAATGTCTCACGGCCAAAATTTCTGCTCACAACACTCTTTTTGACGTTCTCATATTCACCACCAGAGGTTGAATCAATCGCTAAGTTTCTATTATAAAAGGCATATTACCAACAATCAATTCGAAATTAACGATTT